TGAAATATCCTCATCAACACCAGGCACAGAAACATTGCAAATCCCCTGTACAACCATAGGGGCCTAAATGATCAATAAATTGATAGTAGGCCCTTAATATATGGAAGAAAAATCATATTCTGCCAGGACCATGTTATTCCAGAACCATATTTTCCCCCAAATTCTATTCCCCCAGAACCATAGTCTTCCAGAACCCTATTCTTCCAAACACCCTATTCTTCCATACACCCTATTCTTCCAGTCAATCAACGACACGAACAATGCATAATATTCTATGTAATTGGTAAGTAATAAAGTTTAAAATGGAAGTATTTCAGATTTCCAAAATATACCCTTTCAATATAGAAATATCAATGGTAGATTAAAACTTTTAAAATGGTTTTAAGTAAAGAATAACCAACAGTGTTATAATTTATGGTGTTCAGTCATTACCTTGAGAGGCGACAAGGCCGAACAGGATAACGACAAGGACGACAGCGATTTTCATGGCTGTTTGTCTGGAACAGCTCCGAATGTCTCTTTGTTCAGAGATTCTCTCCTTGAAAAAAATAATAAATGTGTATTTTTTGTTTTGTTTAAATGCTGTGTTCGTATGCCGGAGGAACTCCTCGCTGTTGATTCAGTGACTTGGCTATCAAAGGGTCGCATGGGCTGTGATACAACGAGGCGTGTTTGCCTTATTTTATAGTGAATACAAGCCTCACGAGCAACTATCAAACGACGTGTACTTCTTTGGTTTTGTTTTCGTGCGGTTTTTTAAGTATATTATTTTCTGTTACATGTCATGTCGACTTAATTGTTGTTGTTTTTTTTATCATTGACTCAACTTAACGCACAGAGGCGATTCATTTACATTTTCCTGATATTTAAAGAAAAAAGGCCCACCACAACCCCACATACTTTTCTGTTACTCTTTCTTCAAATGTAGAGAAAAAGATGGAAATAAAATTTAGCAACAAGAATTGATTCTGTTGTTTTTTTTTAAAGTGTCCATCAGCATGTCTTGGGGGGGGGGGTAAAGATGCGTCTGAGGAATGAAATCAACGGCTGTACAAAATTAAGCGTCGGCCGCTCCTGGCCCTAAGCTGAAGACCAATTCAGTGCACGCCTTGCTATGCGTCTAATCATTTCTTCTCTGACATGATTTACGGTGGTGCTCCGCTAACTTTTTCACGTATGGCACACCTGGGCCTTTCCCAGACCTCCGTGGGCACAATTCATGTCAACAAAAAAAAACAATAATAATATATATTATAATAATTATTACAATTGTTTCATGTTTAGTTAGAAGTCTGACAAAGCAACTAAAAGTTCACTATCATACTTTCAAAGCATGACCGCTTTTCGTTGTTAAAAGGAAAATTGTCGAGAGCATTGTTGATATATTAGATAGGTGTGTGTGTGCTTTTTGTTGTTGATTTTTAGACAAAATGGCCAATCTGAAATTTAAAGATATTTCAGCGTCCTCTTCTTCCCTCAATTTCAAATAAACCACATTTAAACCTGAAAGAAAAATGCCGTGTGAAGTTTTTGGGGATGCTATGGAAAAAAAAAAATGTCTTCTGCTATCCCGTTGTTTAACTTCGCATTAACCGGGAAAATTATTGGTCGATTTTCTGTTTTCGGAAAGTGAGTCGCCCAGCCAAGACCATTTCCCTATGTTTGTTTGTTTGTTTGTTTGTTTGTTTTAGAGACCAGGTTCGTTCTTTGGAACATGTCTTCTGCGTGTTTCCCCTGCCAATAGAATGTATGTATATTTGAACTCCTTGGTGGTACAACTAACCGGGACAGAGGGGGGGGGGGCAGGCAATGTCAATGATGAGTTTGGCGAGTTCCTAGTCAATAACAGCAGTCTTTCTCGCGTTGTCAATATATTGCAGGTCGGTGTCAAATCCAGGACAAACGGGTCTTACGTTCCATACTGCGAAGCGAAGGGATGGACTCTTCCCTCCAAGGGATGGACTCTTCCCTCCAAGGGATGGACTCTTCCCTCCAAGGGACGGACTCCTCCCTCCAAGGGACGGACTCCTCCCTCCAAGGGATGGACTCTTCCCTCCAAGGGACGGACTCCTCCCTCCAAGGGATGGACTCTTCCCTCCAAGGGACGGACTCCTCCCTCCAAGGGATGGACTCCTCCCTCCAAGGGATGGACTCCTCCCTCCAAGGGACGGACTCCTCCCTCCAAGGGATAGACTCTTCCCTCCAAGGGACGGACTCTTCCCTCCAAGGGATGGACTCCTCCCTCCAAGGGATGGACTCCTCCCTCCAAGGGATGGACTCTTCCCTTCAAGGGATGGACTCCTCCCTCCAAGGGATGGACTCTTCCCTCCAAGGGATGGACTCCTCCCTCCAAGGGACGGACTCCTCCCTCCAAGGGATGGACTCTTCCCTCCAAGGGACGGACTCTTCCCTCCAAGGGATGGACTCCTCCCTCCAAGGGATGGACTCCTCCCTCCAAGGGATGGACTCTTCCCTTCAAGGGATGGACTCCTCCCTCCAAGGGACGGACTCTTCCCTCCAAGGGATGGACTCCTCCCTCCAAGGGATGGACTCCTCCCTCCAAGGGATGGACTCTTCCCTCCAAGGGATGGACTCCTCCCTCCAAGGGATGGACTCCTCCCTCCAAGGGATGGACTCCTCCCTCCAAGGGATGGACTCCTCCCTCCAAGGGACGGACTCCTCCCTCCAAGGGATGGACTCATCCCTCCAAGGGATGGACTCTTCCCTCCAAGGGATGGACTCCACCCTCCAAGAGACGAACTCCTCCATCC